TGGCTCTTAAAAATTCAAGTAGGATGATTATTTTGTGTGGAAGTTTTTCCAATTAATTTTCATAAAACAGGCCAGCATGTGGCTGCTGCCTGAACAGAGCAGCTGTTAGTATTTAATACTTGTGTATTGCTTTGTTTTCTCCAGAACTGTGTGCATATGTTTGGCCATTAGTACCTCCTGGGAAAAAAAACCCCAACACTAAAAAGCTCTGTCATTTAGCATCCTTTATATAGCAAAAATTACACACCTTCATATGCTTCAGTGAAAATAACTGTGTGACTGCACATGAATTTATCCCATTATATGACTGATCATATATTGGGCCCAGAGCAACAATAAGTGCGGATAAAAATAAACATTATCATATATAATCAAAATATGAAAAAAAAATATGAAATTGCTCTTACTTGCTCTGTCTCATCTTTCAGTTTCTTTTTTGAATTTCCAAGAACTTTACCTGCTCTGACCCAGCCATCTCTGTGATTCTCTGTGCAGAAATGCCACAGCACAGCCCTTGTTACAGACTAGATGAGAGCAGCCATGAAGGAGTGCTCAAGAGACCAGGATGGAGAGATCAGTCACTTTCCATCTGATAGCTCTCCATACACAAAAGGCTTCCTGCAAAAAATAGGCAGGGAAAACAGAAAGCTTGTGAGAGGAAGGAGTAGTTGATTCTGGAGTAAAGTCCACTGCAACAAATGGCAGTTATTCTTCTAATTGTTGTTACTGTAACGCTCTTTAATCAGAGAAAAGGGTCACAAGACTCAACTTCAGTATCCTTGGAATACTTTGGATGGAGAGGCTCATTGAGCCTGTTTTGTTTTATCAGGATATGTATACATACTCCTTCTCTATTGACAGGACAGACAAGTCATTTCAATAGACATTTCATGTGTGTGTCCTTAGGCGGGATTTAGCCCTTAAAATGAGAATGCATATTAATAGGAAAATGTGGAGAGCCAGCTCTGAAGATTAGCTTGGCTTTGTAGTATTGCTTAGTTGCTGTGCTGTATGGAAAATGCATGATGATAACAGATGTAGAGCTCACCACTCATAAATATTTAAGTAACAAGACACAATAGGCAGGCAACTTCATTGTTGCAAAAGTCAGAGGTACAGTGTGAGCCACAAAGCCCAAGAACGAGTGGCTTTAGCTACTTTAAAAGTACATTTCCTTAGAAATGTGTTTGTGGACACTTTTTTTTTCTTACCAAATACAATATATTCAAAAAGGGAAGATGCTCTCATTTATGTATACACTAGCCATTATTGGCCATCACCGACACAGATAAGACCCCTCTGACAGCTGGTGTGGAAGAGATGGCTATACCCTGGATTGTAACACCCCTTCATAACCAACAATAGGACTGCACCTGATACTTAATTAGAATAGCAAATCCTCAAAAGGAATTCAAAATTACAGGAGTGGATTCTGCAGGTTTGTGTCTGAGATTGAAAAAGTGTGGGAGATGTCTTTATGATTTTAACTAGTATTTTCAACACTTTATATACATACACAGTCATGCTTTCTGCAACAGAGGAAAAAAGTTAATTCCATTCTGAAGGATTTTACTTCTTTCTACTTAAACGAGCAGTGATTTTAATTTAATTGCTAATGATCAAATATTCTAAATCCACTGCTGAAATTTCATCTTCATCTTTAAAAGTGTAAATTGTACCAGGCTTATTGAGGTGTTCCAGGACAGAAGTAGAGTTTTGGAACAAGACAGGTAAAAAGAAACCCAGCAAAATCAGATTTAGGGCACTCTGAGACAGAAGCAAGGGGTTAGATTGCCTCATCCAGACAGAGTAGAGAAGGGCCCTGGGGCAAGTGGGACCTAGTTTACAGAGTATGAAAATTATATTAAAGAAAATATGAATATAGCCCTGTTCTTGTTTTTAACTCTTTTCTCTCTGATGCTTTAGATAAATCAATATGCTTTTCTGTAATAATTTATTCCCTGCTACTTCAACTTTTGTCATTCTCTGTAGCTCATGGAGTTTATAGGAGGGCTAAATTCCAATTAGACTTGCAGGGGAAAAACACCAATGAAAAGCAATTTTTGACTCAGGACCAGCATATGAAGATGATGACTTGCAGGACTTCTCCCTGTCAGAAAGACAGGGTAGAATTTTGGAAAGCTTATCAAAGGGAAGAGCAATTGAGCATTCAAAGGTACAGGCTATCTTGAACATCAGTGTCCTGCAGAGGGGCTATAAAACCACCACAATTCTGTATCTCTTATAGGATGTGAATATTGTTGCCACTTTGCCTTTTATCTGCCAAACAACTTCTGGGAAATGAGAGTAAAGGTCTTGGAAATTTTAGGCCAGTTAATTTATTAGAAGTACAATTCTTGCCCACCATCAGTAACTTTCATTGTCCTTGAGTAATTACAAACCAGTTGCTTCAATCTGTTTTCATAAGAGAGAGGTAACATAGGCCACAGTAGCATGGGTTATTTGATACTGCACTGCAGCAAGCTGTGAGGCAAGGGAAAAGCTGGCCAGCAACTGGCCCCTTTGCTGAAATTGTTGGCTGATGACTGCCTACCGTGCTGATGATAGTATGCTATGAGGAATTAAAAAAAAGAAAACAAAACAACAAGGAAGACTTTTAGAGTGTTGGTAGACTAGGAAGTAAATACAAGCTTTGATGAGCAAGTACAAGTCATCCATGTAGCTCTGTTCACTGTGGTTTTTAAGGCCATTTCAAGCAGGCTGAATCAGCAGTGCCACATCCTCTGTGTGAATCAAACTAACTGTAACCCATCACAGGACTTCGTTACAGGACAGGCAGGGACACTTACAGCCCTGCTGATTTCAAATCCAGTTCTGCAGGAAAATGCAGTCCCAGTGCAGTTCACAACAAGGGCACTATAAAACTGCTGCTGCTCAGCTGTTGCAGTCAAACTGCAGATGTCATACTGCTTCATTACTGGTGTTTAAAGGCGTTCTCTACTTGAGCAGTCAAAATGCAGTTTTATTCTGCCATTTTTTTCCGTAGATTTATAGCTGTGTTTCTGGAGAGTTAATTTAGCTATTCACATCTTGAGTTTCAAAATTAATAGCTAGCTACCAGGTAGTTACAAAAGCATTTGTTACAGAAAACAGATTATCAGTGCCAGCCCTGAGCAAGGTCTGGAGCAACTGGGTGCTAGAAAGAAGATCACAAAGAATTCTAGCTCCTTGTGCATGGAGCCAAAAAGCTGCAGAGACCACACAGCCCTGCTACACTATTATTCAAACACAGGGGCTAGGAAACAGAGTAGGTGTTTCACAAAGGACTTGGCTCTTTGCTGCTCCTCAGAAATGGTACTTGGATATAGGAGTTAGCCTTCTCTATGCCAAGTTCTCAGGGAATCCATAAGAAGATTCATTGCTTCTTGATCAAATCGATTACATATGACTAAGGGAAAGGATGTTATAAACCACTCCACCATGAATCCCTACCCACAGAATCCTGCATGGGAGATAACATTACAGAAATAATTTTTTTCATCTGGAATGCAGCATCTTGCACACATCTGAAAGAGAGAATAAAGGTGGTGAAACTGCAACCTGCTACTTCCTTTTAGCAAGGCTGCTTGAATTTCTGGAGTCCAAATTTCACAAATAACGTGGGAGAACACATCATTCCCCATTCATGCTGGGCTGACTTCCTACAAGCCCCTGAAGATTTCTAGGCTGTGTAGATCGTGCTGGTTTGGAGATGTGCATTGTAACAGAAGGCATGTTCTCTTTAAACAGCCCTCTGAATATCCAGCTCTGCTCAGTAAGATGGAGCGGCTGGGAATCAGCCAAAGGGCCCAATGCACACCTGACAAATATCAGAAGCTTCCTAACATTAGACAATCTTTGCCTTTCAAAAAGTATTGTCTCGAGAGGTTTTTTGTACAGAGTATTTCCCAAGCAGGTGGTAGCAATTCCTACAAGGCATGTACAGAAATATTGCAAAATATTGCTCCTTGATTCACAGAAAGACACATTTTTCTTGACAGGGAGGAGGTGTTGCTACTAAAAGTAGAGTGTGGTCCTGTTCTTTTATAAGCTAGCAAGGGTGGGGGGGAGGGAAGTCTGTTCCTTAAATTTTGCAAGAGCAGCTGTGGCACTGTCCTAACTGACAGGAAGCTAGACCAGGTTGTAGGCATTGGCCTTTGCAGACTTTGCCTTCACCAGAATTTAAGCGCAGCAAAGAAAGCCTCTTCCTACAAAGGAGGGTGAAAACAATGTGGGCGTATTTTCAGTGTCCAGGTACTTGGCCATTTTGGGTTGGAATGGATACATTTACGCAAGTGTACTTTCTCACCCATCCTGTGTTTGGAAACACCTGCCAGACTAGCCTGTATCTGAGGGAAACTTGCAATATACTGATTTTTGCTGTCAGCGTCGCAGGCAAATTCACATTGCTGCTAATGGAGGTAGGTGTCAAGAGTTAGGGAGTAAATTCCTAGAAACTCTACAGTAGTTTCCCAGACTTGCACTGGGGAGGTCACAAAGTCACCATTGTACAAACGAGGGTACTTCAGTCTCCGTGCTAGTGACCTCGGCCACTGACTAAAATCACTTTAAAAAAAAATCACTTCCCTGGAAAGGGAAAGCTGCATTACCAAAGGAGGACTTCGTTACCTCACATCCGAGGCCCGGCTGCGGCCCCCAGCTCCGCATCCCGCCCGTGAGAAACCCCAGGGCTGTGGGGACCCCGCCTGGCGGGAGGGCAGCCCCCCACCCACCCGTGCTGCGCCCACCAGCGCGGCGAGGAGAGGCGTGCGGGCGGAGGGAAGACGCACCGAGGGAAAAAACCTGAAGAGGGACAAACCAAGCAAGCTCCGCACACAAATTCCCTCCAAGCCGGGCATCAGCGCCTGCCTGCCTGCCTGCCTCCCGGGCTCGCCGTGCTTTCCTCGGTGCAGGGAGCCGGCGTCCCCGGGCACAGGACG